CCATCACTTTGCTATTGCCTGACCATTATTTTACCGTAAATTGACCGTAATTTCAGATATCTTGTTTAATAGTTGACTTTAGTGTCTGGGCGGCAAGTTGGTGCCTGTTGCCTCACAGCAGGCATGTTCCTGGCTGAGAAGGGGCCTTTCTGTGGGGTGTTTGCATCCTCCCCCCCATGTGGGCAGGTACTCCAGCTTCCTCCCACAATCAAAAAACATGCTTACAAGGTTGATAGGTCACTCTAAATTGCATGTAGTGAATGTGAACGTTTGTGTCATCTCTTAGTTATTGGCTGGTGGTCTGTCCATTGGGTACCTACCCACTGAGCATTTTTTGGTCTAAAAGGGGTCTAATAGACGTCTAAATGTAGCCTAGACGACTGGTCCAAAATCAGGCTACTTCAGGTCTAAAAATGAACGTTTTTTAGACATCTAAATTTAGACCATGTTAAGACCAAGTCAAAATCTGGGCTACTTCTATACTACATTGTAAATTGCTCAATGGCTCTCACAAGTTCTTGGAGATCAGTTATGCAACTCACATTTGCTTTTTGAAATAAATAGTTATCGAATAATGGGTGCAATGTCTAAATTCCGCCTAAAAATATACTGAATCTAGACAGTTGAAATTAGGTAAAAAAAAAAAGGAAATTGGCAACTAATAGCCATCTACTTGGTACCTGTTGCCCAAAGACAGCTTTAGCCCCCTCCAACCATCAAAGGGATTAGCAGATAGGTCTGTATATCTTAACTGTGTTTCAAGCCTCACTGACTAAACTTCAGGTACCAAAACCAGTAATACACAAGATCCTCATCCATCTTCTTACCTTCTCATCATTTCAGCTTGTTGACTTGCTCTGGTTTCAAATGCTGGCGTGTTGGATTGGTCCAAACCATGTTCTTGTCTCTGAAGAAAATAAACAAAGAGCAGTTGATTCAGTCCTCTAATTAAGTTTACAAAACCTGTTTTAGGCTCGGTCCAGGCAACATAGTGCACCAGGGATGAGCAACAAATTGCAAATACAGGCATCAGGTGCAAAATTACTCCTCATATTGTTGCTTTGTGCATAAAGTCAGAGTGATGCAAATGCTCTTGTGTTGACATTGTGCATGGCTCAGACATGTTTTTGTAGTATGCACACATTAAAAGACTCAAACATACATCGGAGGATGAGGTTTTTGTGCTTAAATCCACCATAAGTAAACTTTTAAAAGGGGTGTGTTCATTAAAAATCACCTTTTAATCAAATTCTTAGTGTCTTTGTCTGATAAAATTGTCACCATGTTGCACAAATACTAAAAATAAGACTTAAAGAAGTAGAAAAATCTACTTTCAAAAGTTCTTTACTACTTTCTTGTGTATTTTTTATCATCAGTTCGTCTTTTATATCTCATCACATGCATGAAGTCACTGGATTTATTGCCATGCTCTGGATCATATGCAGAGTCTTACAGTATATCTGTGGTTTCCGCTCTGTTTACTCTGACTGCTGACTGTTGGAGTGTGTTGACATGTGAAGTGTAAGAGAGATCCACACTCCTTTTGTTGCCGGGATGTCAACGGTAAAAAAAAAAAAAAAAAAAAAAATCAGGCAGACAGCCAAGCTTCAATCCCCGCACACACACACCTCCCCGACTTCATGTGAAATTAGCGATGAGGAGGCTGTTTCTGCGGAGAGGGAGGACATTCAGAGGGCGAACAGTACATTAGCACAGCAGAGGCGTGCATGCAAGTGTGCATGAAGTGACAATGTCAAAATATCGACACCTTTTTTTTCCCTTTTTTTTTTTTTTGTTCCTCTGGGTCCCGGCGTGTGGGGAATGAAGAAATAACAGCACGAGTTAATTCCCCCCTCTGAAAGGTGCGACATGTTGAAATGTAATGACTTGGCTTGCTGAACTGAAACCGAACACTGCTTTAAACCACAGAGGTGTCGTGGATGGGAGCCGAGAGAGAAAAGGGGCACGGAGGCAAAGGTTTCTTATCCAAATTAATACAGAGCCTCGCCTTTCATCAAAGCTTTTATTGAGTAATATAGACTGTTCCAACTCACAATGGCTCTTTCAACACTCTCTTGGCAAAAGACTGCGACAGATTCCCCCTCTTTTTTTTACACAGTTTCCTTATTTCCTACTTCTATCTCTGAGCTCCGTTTCTGCTATTCATCTATTCCCCTCGCATCTCGCCTTTCCGGAGCCATCTTTTCACGGCCCCTTCATTGACAGTCTCCCTCTCCACCAACCTCCCCTGGTCACCGGGGAGCTCATTCTTAGTTGCACAAAAAACGTCCGTCACGGATTGCCTTCCTCCCGTCCGCCTGTGAATTAGCTGTGTGATTACACTGAGCTGGTGGGGTAAAGCCCGTGGTTGGATTAGGGGGCTGCACGGGGCTAGAAGGCCTCGGATTGGAGAAGCCCAGCTGAGTACAGACGCACCGACCAACAGACACGCAAGCGGCTGAAAAGCGCTAACGGGCTAACTAGCCGCAGAAGAGAGGGCCAGGCGAGATCTGCGTGGCGTGCAGTTGTCGCTTTGGCACATCACACTGATACTGGCTGCAGGGAAAGGCCAGCCAGATAGAGAGCGTGCCAGGAAGCTACAGAGAGGACAGTGTTTGGGCTTTGAGTTGTTATTTTTGGTTCTGGATGAATGAGGCCAGGGGTGGGGGATGGGGGGATGAGGGCTAGACGTTAAATAAGTGGAACGAGATCCTTCTGAGCACTGAAGTTTGTCTGTCTCATTGTTAGGTCCTCTAAAGTTCAAATGTCAATGAATACATTTAGTTTCAATTCAGTTCTGCATCTCTGTCCCTTGTTGTCTTTTCTTTTGAGGATCAAACTAAGACTAAGAAGACTTCCAAACTCAAGATAGTACAGGTGTTCAAAATCAAGAGTCTACCATCCCCAACTCTTTGTTTTAAATGTCTTTTTCTGTGGTGCCTTTTTCTCCTCTCTTTTCCCTTTTTATGTTTCCTCCTGTTTGAGTCGTGGGTAAATGAGGGTGACCATACGTCCTCTTTTACCCGGACATGTCTTATTTTCTGGGGGCTGTCCAGGTTTGTCTAGGGAAGTTTATAAAATCCTTCAAATGTCCGTGGTTTTGTACGTGAGTTTTAAAAGACACTCGATCCAACCTGAAAAACTCAAAAGTAACTTTGTGCGACTCGGTCCCCGCATAGTCGTGTCCTCTTTTTGGGAAGTCAGAATATGGTCACTCTAGGTAAATTCTCCTCTTTGATTACTCAAATTATAGAAAGATTATGTGGAAAAAGTGCTTAAAGCGATCATGAATCAAATCTTCATGTTACTTTAGAAGCTTTGACTAAAATAGGATGATAATACTCACTGTATTAAAGGCCAGATTTTACTCGTAATGGAGTATTTTTACACTGTGTTGTTAAATTTGAAAGATTTCAGCTCTTTCACCCTGTACATTTGATCTCAGGCTGCAGATTCAAACCTTCACATAATGTCCTGTAATGTCAGTAACTTAGCTCATATTTTATTGGACTAAGTTTATTCTATCCCTTGGCTTTTCACTCACACACAGTTACTCAGCCTTAGATGTTTACAAAAAAGGCATAAATTAGGGTGACCACATTCTGACTTCCCAAAAGAGAACATAACTACGTGGGGGTCACAGAGTTGCACAAAGTTAATTTTGAGAGATTTTCGGGTCGTATTTAGTGTTTTTTACACGCTTCTAACTCAGCAAGTCCACGTGACACAAACTCAAAACTTACGTACAAAACCGCAGATATTTGAAAGATTTTATGAACTTCGCTGGACAAAGCTGGACAGCCCCCAAAAAAGAGGACATGTCTGAATTAAAGATGATGTATTTTCACCCTACATTTAGAGTCCTTTCATAACTATAAAGCTGTGTAAAAGGTAACTCAACTGTGTCTTCCTTAAAGAAGCCACAATGAAGTGTTTCTGTCAGAGGCTGAAAAATGCTGAAATTAGAGTTTTTACAGACTCTAGAATACGATAACACATTACAAGGACACATTCGAGATCATGCAAAGCCACTCTAAAGGTGTCCCAGACTCACTTCTTAAACGTTATAACAAATTTCACATTGTGCCCTGTGTGTTTGTTCAGACTTGTCCCTCCCAAGTTTTGAGTGATATTTTTTAAAGAGGATGTTGCTTTTCTTTATTTTTACCTTCCAGGGTACACGCACTCTTATGCGTACTTTGAACCTGTTCCTCTGTAGTGACCAAACGTATCCTGTTTTTCTCAGCAGCCCTGGTTGTGGATGTTTTTAGAGCTTTGTGCCTGCACGGGTCACTTAAAAAAGTGTCGTACGGACATCACATAAAAACATGAAGTGAGATCCACGGCCGACTGAACAAATAACAATGTGGGAACATTTTAAGAAATACTTAAAACGTCACTACTTCTGCTTCTTATGCAGTGATGTTAAAAATACTTCTTTGAGTGTTGCCGTGTTCCCACCAGATGTTCTTGTGTCAATCAGAGAGTATTTCACCCTGACCTGCACTCTGCAAGCACTCACAGAGAGTATGCAGGCAGGTATGAGAACCAGCCCTTTTAGCACGCTAATATAGCAGTCAAATCAGAACGTGGCGGTGCCAAATTCACTGACGAATGTTTGACATCTTCAGTTAAATTTGAGTGAACTCTGGGAACCTGGATGGTTCCCAAGGTGACAGTCAAAACTGTCTCTACCTGAATGGACCTTTTTTTTGACTGACAGAGTTGAAAGACGGACGAGTCATTTGCCTAGAACGACGTTTGACAACCATATCACAGAAAACACGAGGACATGAGGACAAATGTGGAAGTTACAGCGTCTTATTTTTTCTTGAATTTGATCCAAAACTTTCTAGTAACAGTGGGGTGACCATATTCTGACTTCGCAAAAAGAGGACACGACTACGCAGGGGCGGAGTCACAGAGTCACGGAGTCGCATGAAGTTAATTTTGAGAGTTTTTCGGGTCGGATCAAGTGTCTTTTACGTGCTTCTAACTCCGTAAGTCCACGTGACACAAACTTGAAACTTATGTACAAAACCGAAGACAATTAAAGGATTTTATAATAGCCGGACAAACCTGGACAGCCCACCAAAAAGAGGACATGTCCGGGTAAAAGAGGACGTATGGTCACCCTAAGTAACGGCGAGGCTCAAACTGAGACAAAACAATCACTTTGCAGTGGACAAAAATACCTACAAAACAGGAATCTTCTTCTTCTTTTCCAGATTTTATCTAAGTTTTTAAGAAAAGTACCTGTCAGTATTTCGTCTTCACGGTTGTTACTGCATAATAATTTGTCAAAAATACCTGGCAGTGATTAATGGTGTTAAAACACTAATGCACACCTGAAGAATGTTCTTGAACCTGACACGCAGTTACATACTTTCAATTCTTTTCTCTTTCATTTGAAGAAACAACCTCGAGTCCCCTTTGTGCGAAGAAACACGACGAGAAAAGGAGTCTATCCCTTTTTTTCTTTTTGAGTTAATACTCTAATAACATCTTAACGTCTGCAAGTGTCAACATCTTATGTGTCAAACTCTTCTGAAAGTCCTCCTGCGCGGTGAGATTTACAGCTTTTGGAAGGTACAAAGTGGTTCTACGTGCCTCGCCACTCCTCCGGCGTTGCCTCACTCTATTGTCAGACTTCAGACAACGAGGCCTTGTCTTCAGTCTAGCCTGTGAGAAAGACACTAACCCCCTCCAGCTCCGCTTCTATATGTTCGCTCGATTTTATTTTAATGTGTCTGAGTCATAAATTAAGAAGACAAATGAAGTTGTGTGCCTGTCTGAGCCTCAGTTGCATGTTTGAGCAGTACGAGCCAATCCAAACAAGGGCGCTGACATCCTTGAAATGTGCTTCTCGCTCGGCTTGATAGCTCACAGTCCGTTGGCGAATGGCTCTTCGTGGAAGACAGAGAGGGGATTCTGTGTGAGGAAAAACCTGTGCAGACCCATCTGACCTTGGCCTGCAGGGAAATAGAGACAAAGAAGAAGAAGGAAAGGAGGGATAGGAAGATTAAAGGAGGGTAAAAAAGGAGATAGATGGAGATAGAAGGAGAAATGGAGCAGGGAAAAGCGTGGGAGCAGGAAAAAGCGTGGAAAGGAATAGCCACAAAATCGGGCCTTTAACATCAAGGGCAACAGTGATTATTAAGCTTTCCCCTGCTTTGGCAGCATAGTTAAGTCCGTGTAGGAGTACAATAAAGATAGCGAATTATGACTGAGATGTATTTCTGCCCGCCGAGAATGGGTATCAGTGAGGAGTCCATTTGAAAGCCTTCGTTCATTACCTCACGCAATTTGATTTTTGTGAAATCTAAGCAGAATTTTTAATGGTATGCCACACTGCTCAATAATTCCATTGATAAGAGCCGGGGAGAATGGGAGTGCAATGGCCTGTGTAAATCTGTGACTGAAGACATTGCGGTTATCGCTCTCCCTCCTTTCTTTCCTCCATCCATCCAGCCTTTCCCTCGCATTTTCTTTTTACGTCCTCCATCAGGTTCATTCCTTTGCTTCCTCCCTTTCGTGTCTCATAGCAACACACCGGCCTTTTATGCCTCGTCCTTTTCTCCCTTTCCCATGCGGCTGTATATGCATTGTGATCGATTGTCTGCGCCTTTAGTCGAGCGCATTTAAATACATTTTTATCTCGTCTGAAGCGTTTCCGCTTCTTGTTGTCCTTTTTAATAAAACCAGATAAAACCAGGCTTCATTAAAAAGGTCACTGTTTGTTTATGCATTGTTGTTTCTGGTGCTCATACAGAGAGGGACCTTGGAGGTATATCAGCGCCCATCAGGCAGGGACCTTTCATTACACTCCTATACTAATAATGTTAAAAAACACACACGCAAAGAAGAGATAAGGTCCCCTTTAAAAGCGGATGCATTATTTAACACAGCCGGCTAATGGCCCAGATTGTCCTGTAACAATTGAATAACATCTGCAGATAACGGCGAGCCTTTGCTCTGCGCCTTTTAAAGAATGGCCCTGTGAAACCGTAGATAGTAGCCCAGCACCGACCAAGAGGAGGAGGAGGAGGAGGGCCACAAAACATTGCTCCATCAGAAAATAAGATCGCCGCCAGAGGTCCAGACCGGAGAAGAAGAAAAAGAGGGAGAGTAAAAAGGGGATAGGGTTGAGGAAAGAGGGGGGAGGAAATCAATAACATGTTGGTCAGTATTAATCTGGCATCAATATAGCCTGTATCTTTTACTTTTCATGGTAATGGCTCCAGTGATCTCCTAAAGTGCCTCTCAAGTGCTTAGAGGGCTAGCGATAGCATCTTATCAGGGCCAGAAGAGAGCACTGGCCAGGGAGGGAAGGTACGGGAGGTGAGGGGGGGTAGTACCAACAGGGTCCTGGGCCAGTTTAAGGAGGGGTGTATGTGTGTTTGAGTGTGTGTGTGAACCCACAAGAACCCTTTCACTTAACCCCTGACAGATGAGAAATCCATGACCCAGAGTACAAACACACATTAAGAGAGAGGGGTCAGGTTACTTTTGGGTCCCGCTGTGGTGCATGTTTTGTTTTGATGCTGCAGAAAATGACGAAACTGCAACTTTTTATTGGTTCTTTGAAGTCTGATTGGTTTGAAGTGTCTAGACTAACCCCCAATTTCCACCGCATCCAGAACGGCTACAAAAATGGCATATCCGCCCATCGTAGCTGATCGTAACCATTCAAGTTAATGTGTCAATTTCCACCGACTTTTTTCGTTCCACTGTGGATTGCCGGACGAACAAGTGAAAGGTTTTAAGACAGCATTTAACCCTGATGACACCTCTGGAAGGCCACAGTTTATTGCTTATATGGTTAGCCTATGTGGCTAAAGAAAAATTGCTATCACACAATTGCATGTGAATCTGCGGGTTCTTGTGAGTTCTCGTGATTCCTGCAATCCGTAATCCACCACCAAAGTCGCCTCACAAATGGATCTGGTAGGAATTGGCGTTCCAGATAACGCTGTGACAAATTCACATTTCGACCCCACCACTATCATGATGTCCAAACTTGGTTTTGCTATATCACTGGACAAGAGGCCACTACATAAAAAGTTCCTCTGTGATGCTTTTATTTTGACATCTTGCATTCGGACTGACGTATTTCCTGTTTGATACTTTTAGATGCTAAGAACAGCAAAAAGTTTGGTTGAAATGTAGAAATGCCCAACACAGAAGTAGAGCTGCTCAATTATCACAGAAATCATAATCCTGATTATATTGACATCATGATTACGACACACACAAACCCGCAATTCAACATCTGCGTCACACACGTTCACAAAACTGGCAGATTTGGTTCGAGATCCTAAAAGTTCCCTTTCTTTTACTTTTGGACTCATTATTCAGTCATATCTTTTTTTTTTTTTTTAATCCTGCATGCTCAACCAACTTCCCCAGCCAACAAAACTATCTTCCAGAGATGATTTTGATGCCAGTCCTCTCATCAGATATTTGGCAAGATGACTAATGGATATTCTTGAAGACGGGCAGATAGTCGTGAGAAATTAAAATGTTCTTTACAACGCTGCATCTGCGGATTAACTCTTCTTGGCCCTGTGCTGGGGTTACGCTGGTTATGCTGCATGCTTTTTCCCCCCCCTTCCTTTCAGCTATCATCCACCTGCAAAACGACATCCCAGTAAGACCAGTGCTCACTTACTGGCTGATAGAGTGGGGTGGGGTATGATGCCTGGTGGATGTGGTCCACCCTGAGGGGGTATATGAGGGAATCCTTCAGGGAGAGGCGGGGCAGATATAAACTGTGTGTGTATGTGTGAGTTTGTGCATGTGTTTGTGTGTGTGTGTGTGTGTGTGTGTGTGTGTGTGTGCCAGGCATTGGCAGCATGCCCTACTCACTGATCCTGTTGGATGCCTTCCATTGGCCCTCTTCCCCCTAACTCCCCCATTCCTCCCTCGTTCTCTCTATTCCTCTTCTTCTTTCTTTTAATTTCAACAGTAGCTCTGGTGAAGGCGAGAGTGAATGTAGTGTAATACCAAACTCTGCATGTAATATGATGAAAAAAAAAAAAACTATGGAAAAAGCATAATTAAAACACAAATCATGTTCACTTGAGTGGAAAAACATACATGTACGAGACCAGTGACTGCAAAACTGATTTATTTTTTTTTCTCTCCGCTGCCAGGATGTGTGCATCAGTTCAGAATCAGGGATGCAGGTTTACAAACCAAAGAAGGTCAAAGGGGGGCACACTTAAGGTAGAATTCTGGTATTCTTAAACTACATTTTGAGGTTTGTGTGCATCAGCAAGCAGCTGTAAAGCAGGCTACTGGAGGCCTTTACCTTTTGCATCTCAGACCTAATTTGAGAGAATTTTTATACATTACACATAAGAAGTTTTTTCTTTGAATGTTTTAAAAAAAAAATACTATGATCACTGTTCTTGTCAGTGCAGTCAGGTGACTTTCAAAGGCCACTATTACTGCTGTTTTAGCTCTTAGTACAAACATCTTACTCATTATAATAAAACTCTGTGACTGCAGAAATTATAATCAAAACCAAACACTTTTACTGAGTGTGAATCCAACCCAAGTTCCCAAAATGTCATTGAGTCACACGTTGATTAAAACAGATTCTGATGGTTTTTAAATCATTCAAACCCCATATATGATTATGTTACAAAGCATGGGGAGGCATCCCAGAGAGGCTGAGTTTACCACTCTTTGAGAGACTGCGTGAGCAAATCGTTCGACAATCTCAGTTGCAGAGGATTTAAGAATTTTATCATCTATGAAATATCACTAAAAGATTCAGAGAATCTAGAGAAACCTATAAATAAAAAGGACAAGACTGAAATCAAAAGTCCCTCAAACAGCACTGTATTAATAACCCACATGACTCTGGAGTGGAAACCGCTGCATGGGCTCAAAATAACTTACTTTTTCTTTTTGGAAATCATGAACATAACATCTTACTCTCTTAAAGATACAGGGACGTGTCATCAGTGCAGTTTAAAGCCAGCATCTGTGATGGTGTGGTGATACACAAGTATTTACGGTTTTGTATCTAAAGAATTTGAAGCAAAATCTGCTGCCATCCAGAGAACAACTTTCTCAGGGGCAGGTATCCCAACAGTGAGGCTCCATCCTCATGCTAAACCAGCCCGCCTTAGTCCTGACTTGTTATGCACTAAAAACAATTTGATGCGTCATTGGACTTAAAAAAACAACTGTCAAGATTACATCTCACTTTCAAAACTCCAGAAACTGCTCTCCTTGGTTTCTAAACATGCTGCCAAAAGAAGATGTGAAACTCAATTAAAAACAGGAATCGTGTGATTCATAAACCATCGACGTCTGTTAATGTAAACATTTGACACAATAAATGAAACCACAGTAAGTACTGGCCCCTATCAGTTTGTGTAAAAATAGGTCCTATAGGCTTGAAAATAGCAGGATTCCCTTTGAATTGGGGAGCCTCCTCATCCTTCCTGTTAGTTCAAGTTTTATAAAAGCTAAGTTTAGGCCGTCCCCTGTGAATTTCTCCTTCTAGCGTCTTTTGTCTTGGTCGGCTTACGCAGCGGACTGAGAGACATCCGAAATGCCCCCAGAATGCAGTATATCTAATGAAAATGTTTTAAATCTCTATGCCCATATAAACTATTTGGGATTATCCAATATCTTTACAAATAGAGCTGATTATCCCATTAAGCTGAACTCTTACTATAAATAGTTTTTTAATACCGATGTAGATTTGTGGGGGCCGGAGCGGAGGGGTGGAGGGGATAAGTGTTTCTGGCGATGTTTTTTTATTTGATGCCCCCCTTCCTCATCCCTTCCTCCCGACACATTCACACTCTCCAGCTCTCTCTTGCGCCTGTGGTCCTTTCTGTACACTGTGAATATTCTACACTAATACCATTCTCCAAATGTCAGAATGGGAGAGCATAAAAACCTTGGCTTTATGATTTTATTTTTCACCTCCAGAAAAAAAAAAAGAGGAGTCCAGGACAGGAGAGGGTTTTCTTTTATTCTGTCTCTTCCTCCATCTCTCTCTCTCTTCTCTCTCTGTGTCTGCTGCGCTCAGTTTTCTCTATTCCTGCTTCATTCTATTCCATTTATTCATATTCAACAGTCAATCATTTTCTGAAAAAAAGAGAGAGAGAGTGAGAGTGAGGGAGGAAGGCAGAGAGAAATCCGGAGATTGCAGATGGAAGTGGTATTTTTTTTTCATGTTCTTATCCTTCCGCATTTGAACCGGCGATGTGGAAAAGCGCTAGGAGCACCGCTTTACATAGCAGCCTCCCTCTCATCAAAAGCCGCCAATCGGGCCTAAATCAGCATGCAAAATGCCACTCAACCCTGTAGCCTTTATTAAAGTTTGCAGGGACTCAATTTGAGATAGCGATCGTTCCTATTAAAAAGCCAAATGTAAGATAGTTTTTTTATATAAATCTCAGGGTGGAATGGAATTGTTAATCAGCATAGGCTGATGTGATTTCTCTGTCACAAATCCTGCCCAGGGCTCAGCGGCACACCAGCTTTACCGTAACTTCGGGCTTAGCAGTCGCCACGGAAACCAAGGGAGGAGGGTATAGGGAGGTGGAGGGGGTGAGTGGATCCGGGTGGGAGTGTGTATGTGTGTGTACATGGCGTGGGGGGGTGTAGATGGGTGATGGGGTTGAAGGAGGGGGGTCGGCTTAGCCCCCACCACCTTCCCACCCTCCCACCCAGCAGCCTCCATCAGCAGCCCTCCTTGATGAGAAGCGAGCTGATAACAGAGCTTGATTGGATTTGAGGCAAAGTGCTGGAGTGTGTTTTATTTTGGCGGGGCTGAAAATGCAATCTCTGACCTGTAGCTTGAAAAAAAAATAAAAGAGCAGTCACCTTACTTGAAAATTCTTTTGATGGTTTTTAAAAAAAATGGCTTTTATTTTCACTGGAGTTCTGTTTTTGTTTCAGGCTTACTCGAGTTGTTTTCCTCTGTTTTTATGTCTCTGCGAGGGGCCGCGCTGGAGAAAAGTGTGAAATCCGGCGCGGCCCCCTGGTGAGACCCAAGTGCTGGTTTAAAAAAAGGAAGAGAGTGGTTGTTCCCCTTGGTTTCTACCAGGGCCAGGCTGGATTGGGACTCTTTCTCCAGCCTGAGAGTTACATAGCTCAAACTAGTTCACCTAAGTCCACGGCCTTTCCCTGGAGAAAAAACACTTTACCTTGAAGTAAAAGAGAGAGAAAGAGAAAATACAACCTTGTTATCTAAAATGAATTTTTTAACAAAACTTGATGCACAGACGTACAATGTCACAGTCGGGCTTAAACCAGCTGATCTGTGAATGCACTGTACCTTTAAGACAAACTGTGTTGATCTGCAACGCCTCTAGATGACACCTCTTGGTATGGCTCTATGTATCCAAGCTCCTGTTTTTCTTTCTGCCCCTCAACTATTATGTTCAGGTTCATGTGACTACTGTTTGCTCATGTATGATAAAATAGTAGCCATACAGCCACGCTTTGTAAGGTCGATGGGTTGTTTACAAAACAAGTAGGCTATCGTTGAGACCCCAGTTACGAGATTTCCAAGTTTTGGCTAACTTTTCACAAACACTTTCTACCGTCAACCCAAACTGTGACAGACTTTCGTGATATACCAGTATTGACAGTAACTTTTCTTAAAAATGCTAAATCGATATTGTGGTCAAAATTAGCACATGATAATCCCTTTAAGCTAAGTGGTCCACTGTAAGTTGCAGCAGTAGTTTATGTTTGTTGCCACTGCTACAAAAAGGGTGTGGATGAAGAGGCAGAAGCATACTAGCTAGCTAGCTGTAGCAACCCTTGGAAAGTCTATCACTCATTTATACATACAGTTTACTTGAGAGGGACAATGTAGATTATATTATGTAACAACAAACTGAGGTAACTAATGTTAGGCATAGAGATTATTGCTATTGCTAGTAGCAGGGGTAGCTAGTACAGTTAAAATAAAAACATTTATACTGTTTCTAATGCTTTCTCAACAGGAAGTGGCTTATTCTCGTTTCAAAATAAAAGCATTATTGATAATTTTGGAAACAAAACAACCTAAGGCAAGACAGTTAGATGTCAAAATAGAAGCATCATAATCATTTTTGGGGGGTTAGATTTGATCCTCTTTTGACTCAAATACATAAAAATAGCAAGTCTTAAAACATATTTTAAATATGGAGGCATGTTTACATAAAATACATCTTACAGCTGACACACAAGCAGTTTATGTGGCTCAGAGTCGTACACACAGGACGCTAAAAAGAATTAAAGGGATATTTCACTATTTTAGAAGTAAGGAGTTACACGCCACTAAAAAGGTTACTAGCCACAGTTAACGAATGCTAATTAGCTCAGCCCCTATAATGAGAAACTGTTGGTAAAACAGTGCAAAAGCAAATGAGCTTTCTCACTGCAAAAGAAAGTGCTGAAAAAGGTCTTAAAACTGTGGTGTTTGCTTGAGTTGGGGTCTCTTAAAATGAACGTGTAGCATATGCAGTGTTCTGTTTCTACCAACGTTTTTTCAGTAAAGGAACTAAACTGACCAGCATTCACTTGTACTTACTACGGACAAGCATCCATACAACCTCCCCCCCAAAAAATGAAATATAGTTTATATGCTTTTTCGCCCACCCCTACTGTCCATAGTGGAACACTGTTCAAACAAGGAGTACCCATCCTTGGCATGTGCAGACTGTACAATCTAAAAAAACATCACTATAATCCATCCCACTGTGGACCATCCCGGCCCACTGGGAATTTTCCTATTTCTCCTGATTAATCACTCCCGGCCCACTTTCTGCCACCGCCACCACCACCAGCCCCCTTCCCAAACTCTTGGCCTTCATCCTGCCTGGCACAGCCTCCAGTTTGTGGGCTGAGCTGTGTGGACCCTTGGCCCCCTCAGACCCCTCGGTTCCCTGGATCGGTATCGGCCACGCTTCGAGAACAGTACCAGCTTAACCTCCCAAACCACCCAAACATATACGCATAGACACATAGAAAGAGAGGCACCAAGTGTACACATGTGGGAGTGGATTAAAGAATATGCACAATAAGGACTGAATGAGTGCAGTCATGCTACAGTGTCAGTTCCTCTTATCCAATTTTGAGGCACAGCCATAAGGAGGTCATCCCGTTGTCGATGCGACGGTGCACAAATGAAGCTAAAGCTCGCGGCGGAATTGTTCACATCTGCGGGAAAGCCTGGCCAAAGGAACACGATCCCATGATGCATTTTTTAGGTTGAGAGAAGAACCTAACTCCTCCAACGCAAGAAATAAAATGCATCGAGGTGGCAGATCCCATGAAAACAGGACCGGAATATGCATCAGAAAGTCTGCAAAGGAGATTTCTTTTTAATTATCTCTGTTTATATACATGTGCCAGCATATGCAGCGCATTTGCAATCATAATTTGACGACCTTCCCCATTAGCAGAGCTGCTGTCTAGCCAATCTTCCCTGCCTCACAGTAATTGAATGTGATTTTAATGGTGAGAAGCCTGTGTGCACTGTAATCCAACACTAAGGGGAGATAATGCCAGCGGCTGTCAGGGAAAGGGTTAGCTTGCCTTGAGTATCAGAGCAACACATAAAGGTGGAGTCTGAAGGTTTGTAGAGTCAACCGGAGCAGAAATTATCTGAAACAAACTGGGAAAATCATCACCAGATCCGATCTTGCCAGTTGAGCAGTGACCGTAAAAAGGTACAAGCTCGATTACAGCGTTCGTGTTGTCCGGGTCAACAAAGAGCTTAAGAGTTTAAGAGTGTTTGTAATGATGCACATTCCCTGCTTTTGTCTCTGTCTGTGTTATTGTAGTCTGTGGTTTGGATTAGCGGCGCTCTAACCCTGGCATGGAGTCAGTAGCCGTCTCTGTCTGATGATGTCACAAAGCTCTTAGCTGATGGTTATCTGTCGGTTTGGCTGAGCCCCACCGGGTTTGGCTTAGCCGCAGTGTCTTGTGGTGTTGTTAGCAGGCTTGTGGTGCTCGGGGCTGGTGATTGCATTCATCGCGCTGCCATAGGACGCATTATCAAGAGGAGTGATTGGACAGATCGCAGGAAAGGGGGAAACCTTTGCCATCTTGTGTGAACTGAGACCGACTGACTCACTTGGATCTGCAAGTGGTGTCTTGACAGGACAACAAAAGGTCTCTGAATCGACTAATTGTGTCTTTTTTAAAGCTTTGCAGGACAATAAAGACAAAAAAAAGGACCTAAAAGAAGCACAAAATGATTGAACAGCTGGGTCACTGTCACAATCACTGCTTACTTTATGTTTTTGACAATGTAAACTTTCCTCAGCAGAAAGAGGAAAGCTTGGCCGCCCATTTTGCAAAGGTCAGGACTGTATATAACCATCCCAGGTCCCATCAAGATCCCCATAACAAGTGACTTATTGTGCTGAAATGCAGCTGATTGTGGTCTCAGAGGAAAAGAATGATTTTTGATTGAGTGTAATATAATTTTTGTGAGATCTTGAGTATTGTAAGAGAGGTGGGAAAAGTCAACGCAACAGTGACTTTTGTGGAGTCCGACCCTTTCCCCTGAACCCAAAATGTTTGGATGACTTAAAACATTTCAGGTCTAAGTATGATGTTCAAATGATGAGACAAAGATGCACTGAGTCTTACCAGAGAGGAACAATAAAAGGTCCATTATTGTTGAGGCGAGTTTGGCATCAAACAGGAGATTTCGTCATCTTCACTCATCCCACAGACATCACTGATACCGTTGTGTCATTGTGAGGACCGCAACGACTGAAACCACGACCATCTGATGGGAACCCCATCCACGTAGCTGAGGTCATGATGACCTGTGTGAGACATAAAATGATCTTAAATATGGTTCAATAGAGACTTAAAGGAAAAACCAACATGTCTGATCTAAAAATTCAAACTTTTGGAGGATTTTTGAGCAGTAAGAGGACAATGACAATGAAATAAGTGTATAAATTTTGGTTAAATTTTGCATTTATCTAAATTTTTGTAAGCAGACTCTAAGAAAAGTAAAGACTGTCCACAGGGGGCGCCAAAATTGGCACAAACCAAAAGTTCCTCACAAGAGCTTAAATGACTCATTCTTTCTGCTCAGTTATCTTATCTCATCTTATCTTATCTTATCTTATCTTGTCATCCAAATGTCATTTTAATGCTGCACCAACACAAAAAAACATTATTCTTACCATTTCATTGTTGGACAGATGGGATAAAGCACAAAGCTTGACCATTTCTGGAAACCCCAGAGGACTGAACTTATCAATGGCAGACCTAACTATGATCTGCTAAATCAGAAACTTCTGGCGCAGAGAAGTGGTGTCTTTGGGGGCCTCTGAACAAGAAAACTGAATTATTTTGAGGGACTTTTAACTCTATAATGTCAGGAAAATTAAACAAATGTGGGAAAGGCCAAAAAAAAAGAGTCCCAAACAGCTGGATCAGTGTTTGTTACCTTCATTGCTTCTTTCACTTACGTCTCAGTCATTACTTTTTTTTCTGTTTGGTGTTCATGTAGAGCAAAGTTTCGACGTTAAACATGCTTTTTTATCTTGTTGAATTAACTCGCAGACATGATTCCTACCTTAAAGTTGAGCTTTTTACTCTCTAAACTTTACTTTAGCAATTTGTAATCAAGCCTATCAGATGGCTTACATCTGGGTCTAATACACCGTACTCATCCTCTGACCTTTCTTTCCTCTGTCAGTTTGGAAGTGCGAGTCCCTGAGTCATACTCGAGCTATTGTGCATGATTGTACGGTCGTGGAAGTAAAAACATAAAGAAATCAATGATAAAAGTCGTTGCAGATGTCAGGGCATCTGTCTCTGATACGTATATTTCTGGTGTTTCGTGTTTTAGTCCGTATAGATCCTCCGCAGCACCCTTTCCGTCTTCACGTTCTTTATCTGCTCCGGTTTAATTTCTACCCTTTCCAACTATCCTCTCTTTTGTTCTCTCCTCTCACATAACAAGCAGTGATAGGGAGCCATGTGTCTTAAATATGTCCTATTCACTGCATTTCCTCCCTGCATGAAGACTGCAGATTGTATGTATTAGTTTCCACGCAGCAGGCTATGCATCCCATACAGCGCAGCAGCAGCAGCAGCAGCAGCAGCAGCCTCCTCACATCAGCACAGGGCTTGAGGACAGTCTTTTGTCTCAGGTCTGAGGGAGAACACACATTCACTCTCACAGACAAACATACATTGCTTTTGGGAGTGTTGTTGCAGTATATTTCCTCTTCTTTCTCCTCTGTATGATATGTTTACCAAATACCTGTTTAGAATGCGGCGGTGGCTGCGCCGCGCGCTCCCTTCCAGTCCCCGAGGATGCTCGGCGGTAAATGGCGGTATTATTTGTCAGCTCTGGCAGTGTCTTGAGGCTGCTTCAGAGAGATACAAGGAGGCAACTGATAAGGAGAGCATCAGAAGGGCAGTTAATTGCCTCCAGTCTCCGGGAGCTGGGGAATATTTAAAATCTATGGGATTAAAGACAGATTAAAAACTGCAGAAGCAGTGGGCCCAATGGCGCTTAAAGATTGCAATCAGCAAGGGTAATGGCGGAGAAGAAGGAGGGGAGAGAGAAAGAGAGAAAGAGAGAGAGAGAGGGAGAGGGGGGGAGAAAAAAACACTGAACGAATGTGGTGGCGGCAGGGGTGTGGAGGAAGAGAGGGAGGGTGAAAAAAAATGACAGATAGGAAATTCAGATCCGCTCCTAATGCCCAGGGTTCCATCTTGTAAGCACGATTCATCTACGTGTAAATCGTTTTTTTCCCGTCTTTTCGTTTTCTTTTTCTTTTTTTCCCCTCCCCTCCTCATCCGAGGCCTGCTTTGCTAGCGTTGCCGCCGCCGCCGCCGCTGCTACCCCGGCGCTTTGCTCGGCAGCCTCTTATCAGTCCATCAGTGAATTAAAAAGCGCTTCTCCCTATGAGGATTAAGGAGGTTGATTGAAGACGGTACGAAAACTAGCTAATAAGTCGAAAATGTCAGAAGGGCACTCTATCGAAACTGTGTACTTTTCATAATAAAGCTGACGAGAAAGGGGGGGGCAGTGGGGGAGAGAGGGAGGGAGGGGAGCGGAGGGGGGGCGAGCGAGCGAGGAGGGAAAAAGGGGAAAGAAAGTGTCGCGTCAGAAGTGGCGAATAGAGAGGACAGAGAGAACCAAACCCACGTTTTTTTCAGCCGGTTCAAAAAGGAGGCGCCTCCTTTTTATCGCTGGTGTGAAAACGGTCACAAAGTCAGAACAAAACAGGCCAAAATGGCAGCTTCCTACACCTCAATCTGGAGAAATTTCGGCCTCGCAGCTCCACGCTACGACAGAGGAGAGGGCTGCCTTATCATTAGTGATATTAATGACATCCGAAGCTTATCGGCGGCATCTGAAGGCATCACAAATTACAGAAGAAAGAAAAACATGGGCCACATGCACTGATACGTCTCTGTTTGGGTTAAAGAGGACAAGATGTGCCGAATCTTGAATTGTTTTCCCACCTTATCAGAGGCCCACTCACTTAATCCTGTTAATGACTACATGAGATACTTAAGGTATCATCTCCAAAATCAGCCATTCGCCATTCGCCATATCAGCAAAAAATCTGCAGCAGTTTTTTTTCTTTATAATCCATTTTTTTCCCACTCTCCTCTTCTCTCTCCTCTCCTCTCTCCTCTCCTCCTGTCTGCAGTCTTTGGTTGAAAGATTAGCCTTATAAATTATGCATTGCTGGGTAGTGGGGGTAATCCGAGGCAGAGATAGAATCGCCAGAGTGTCGAAGGGGGCATCGGGGAAGCAGCGCCACCATCATAAATATGAAACAGATGTTGGGTGACATTTTAAAAAAGTGGATCCAATCCCCTCCTCTGCTGCGTCTGGTGTTTTAAATGGAGGGAAGAACCTGACATCCATCGCTTTCACTCCCTCAGTCACTCTCCCTTACTCACTATAGTCTCTCTTTTTCGCCATAATCCTGTGGAACCAGCGATGCATAGATTATACTCCTCCTTTTATTCTGAATGTGTCGTTTTGGTGTGTTTGAGCCGAAAAAACCTCTAAATGCCAGCTCCTTCAATAACATCTGAAATGGCATCTAATCTACCCTGATTAAGGTCTATTTTAAACGATCCTTTTAGGAAAAGAAAAACTAAATGATGCCTTAAGGAAATGGGAAATCCACATGCAGGCGTGTGAATGTAAGGGTTATGTAAATGTAAGATGTTTCAGATACCAGCAGATGTTGAGATTTCAGATTGGAGATGATGAATATGAGGAGCTCCAGCGACGACAATGCTCCGCTAATGTGTTTGGATGGGCGGCGTGGTTTGTGGCGTACGGGTGTGATTGTTCTGCAGCTGGCAGCGGCCCTGAGGACTCCTCGCCGGTGTCTTTCAAGGCAGAATGAGAAAAGACTCCACAATGAAGATCGTCCCTCTCATCCCGCTTTGTCTCGTCCTTCTCTGCCACTTCTCACAACGGCCTCGACTCCATTCTGCCGCGCTCCATAAAGGCTCCTGTTGTTGCCGCACATTGTCGTTCATTGTTTGGTGCTAAAAAATGAAGATAATGCTCGTTGGAAAAGGCGCTCGTGCCTTTGTTTGTGTCTTCCCTTTTCTTTGCCTTCTCTTTCTGTCGGGCTTTGGCAGGGGAGAGACACCTGGAGGGCAGAAGTGATGCGTTCAGGGGTTAAGGGTCAAGTTCTTGTGAGTAAGCAATCAAAACCTCAACTCATGAAAAGGTTCGGGGTTGAATAAGAGATCGGGTTATTTTCAGGAGATTTAAGAGCAAAATCGGGTTCAAACTTTTGTATTTGTTGTAAAGATAGACTTCTGATCAAGGGTTAAAAGTTTGTTAAATCTCAGGTACTCGTGTGTTATGATGAGGTTGGCGTCAGTCTTATTAGCTGCACCTGTTTGTTAGCTCACAGGTGGTAGTTTGACACAAAGTGCACACTACTTTTGACTCCTTAACTGAGGCAACTGTGAGTTTAAGTTTAAAAAAAAAGTGTGATTCAAAAACTCACAACTAAGGACAACTAGGTTTCACTGAAATTAAAGTGTTAATGCTTACAGATCCATCTCCATCACATCTTTCAGGGAGTTTCTTTTGGGTTGATGAATATAATCACTAACAAGTGAGGGTCTTTAAAGACCTACAGAAACATCAAATCAGCTCAAAAAATTATTATAAGGAACTTACTTTACTTGGTTTAAAGATCCCGTGAAGGGTGTTTTTGACATTTATGAAATTGACTGAAACTGCATGTATGCCTTTTTATGATGCATAAAAGCAAAGAACAGACTATTAGCGACAAAATTCGCACATTTTTACTGTAATTTTTAACTTCTGAAGTTGGTGTGAGGGGGTAGGTGTCAGTGGAGCCACTAAAGAAACAGCCACACATCAGATTTCATTAAAAATGTTAGTGAGGGTGAGGGCCTTTCAAGACCTCTAGAAACATCATTACTACTCAAAAATTATTTAAAGGAACTTATTTTGTTTAAAGCTCCTCAGAATGGTGTTTTTGACATTTATGAAATTGACTGAAACTGCATGTATGCCTTTTTATGAAGCATAAAAGCAAAAAACAGACTATTAGAGACAAGATTGAGACATTTTTTACTGTAATTTTTAATGCCTGAAGTCGGTGTGAGGGGGTAGGTGTCAGTGGAGCTACTAAAGAAACAGCCACGTATCAGATTTCATAAAAAATGTTAGACGTGAGATATTTTTTGTTAACATGTAGAGGACATTATTAGTTGTTTTGAACACAGTGTACACCAATGTTGACACGAATCAAAAGTCTCTCATAGGAGCTTTAATTCAAGACTTATGATCATTTTCTGTCGTTTTTGGTTAAATTTTGAGTTTTGACAATCATCATCTGTTCGAAATGTTTGCTATTATTTAACTTGTCTTCATCTGATTAATGAATTTCTGCATCATTGGACGTTGAAGTGCATTATAAAACATGGAAATTTCAAAAGAAAAGGCACAAAAAAAATTAAAGTGCAACATTTTTTGAGGGATGTGAAGATTAGGTTTGAAAAATCGTCCTCTGCACACTTGATGGATATAGAGAAGAAACTGTGAAAAAAGGAAACTCTGGAGGACTTTTTTAGAGCTGTAAAGTCTCCTGACATTGGAGGATTTGAAAAGAAAACAAAAACAAGCTGTGAGGGTGAAAAAAAATAAAGAGAAAATACTTGATAAAAGTAGAAAGTGGGAGCAGGTGACGGAGGAAGAAGGAGATGATGGAGGGTATGATAGAGAGACAGAGAGAGTGATGGCCTAGAGAAAGTGTGATAGCAGCAGGGGAGAGTGATGGAGGGAGCTGTGTGTGTGTGTGTGTGTGTGTGTGTGTGTGTTTGTGTGAGTGTGTGTGACTGCAGGGTGCGTCGCTGAGCCCTCCCCCGGCCTGTCACTCAAAATGGAATGAGGAGGTCTTATCTCTTTTGCACACGTGACCCCTAACCTGACCTCCCCCCTCCTCTTCCTCCCTCCCTTTACCTTTCCCCCTCCTCTCAGGCTCTTTTCCACCTCTCTTCTCTCCCCCTTAAATATTCTATTCCCAGAGTAAAAAAAAAATGATGGGAGCACATATGAAAATCTCTGTAGTGAAAATTTATCATTTTGGGTCTTTTTTTTTTTTTCTCCTTTTTGGGCTGTGGAGAATCGACAAAGTGCTCTCTCTCTCTCCTGCAGAGAAACGATAATCTATGAGGAAATGGAGAAGACATCAATGTGCTGTGTGTGTGTGTGTGTCCGTGTGTGTGTATATGTGTGTGTCCAGTGGTCACACAGTTCAATATCCTCATCAGCACACTCACATACACATGTACAGTACAAGCAGTATGCATACACACCACTTACCTGAGGCTGCAGGGTAACCGATGTGTCACATGCCTTTATGACAGAGCTGTAAATCTGCCAGGTCATCTACAGTATCACACACACACACACACACATGCATGCTCTCACACTCACAGATGTGCAGGTGTTGTAAATCCACAGGTTGAACTCATCACTAATGAGGAGGAAAAACAGGCTGCATGCCACAAGTCAGTCTGATGTCATGGGAAATTAGTACTTGTTTGTCTGATGATAAATTTTCACTTTGGTACATTTTCACTGTCAGGAGTTGAACTCTTAGCACTGCGTATTTAGATCAGAGTGAATTTTAACAGCTACAAGTCTGACAAAAACTGCAAATATCTGGATTAAAAGATTTTAAAGTGCCCTTTTTAAAGGTTATCAACACTTTGAAGTCAATACAATGGCTATTAAAGCTCCAGTGACTCTTTTTAAAGCATCAAATAATTTGTTTAAACTCAATAAGATTTAAATATAATACAAAATAACTACATAGAAGAAAATCATGCTTAAGAATACATTATATGTCCAATATTGCAATTGTTTAGTTTGACCCATGTTCCATCTGTTAACATGGAGGAGGCGGATTTCAAGACCTATACCGCAGTTAGCCAGTAGGGGGAGTTTCAAATGTTTTGGTTTTGTTTTCCATTATTTAAACCATGAAAGTTAGCAATGCGAATTAAATTAAAAGTTTGTGAACAAGACTCTGGCGGCCAAGATGAAAGTTTTATATGAAAACTCAATTTATTGAAAACAGATCTCTGCAAGGCGACAAACTACTAAAATCCAAACAACTTAAAGTTGAGCTATTCACATTGAAACAGTTTTATTATTAAAAAGATAATATTATTTTTAAAAAAAACACAG